CTATCTATGATATCCACAGTTGAAGTAGTTCAAGTAGGTGGCTGTGTCAGCATGCATAGGCTGCAAAGGAACAAGTAAAGGTTTATTCCTGCTGAGAAGAGAAGGAAAGAAACACAAGGCTGTTGAGCCTTCTTCGGGTGTCACACAATGGTGTCTTGTGGTGTCAGTTGACAACTCTCCTCCTCTCTTTATCCTAGCAACCAGAACATTAGGCCTTAGGTTTGATGATTCAACCACAAAGTCAATTATCGACCTTCAACCCAAGATGCTCATTACCAAGCGCAATGAGCAGCTTACTGTTCAAACATGGTGTTTGTTATTGCCAGCACAGACGTCCGATAACAGCACTGTACCAACCGTCTCCAAGAAGGCTGAATCCTCCTTACGGTTGTTAGGTGTGAAACTAAGTTAAAAAAATTATGAACCTTCTCCAAATCCTGACTCACTCTGTGTAAATAGTTTTATTTTTGTTGCATTGTTCATGTTTGTTTTGTTGGTTCTACAGCCATGCTAGAGAACTTTGTTGATGGCTGTTCTGTAACTTTAAGAGACTTCGGTAGCTGCTGATGTCATCATCATGAACCTCTCAATCCATACTTTCTGAACTGTAGAGGTAAGCGATATTTTAGTTGCTCTGAAAAAAATAGATTTATAACAAATAGAATCTAATCAACATTCTGCTGTGCAGTTGTATATGTATTTAAGTACTATAAGCATCAAGTGACTCAGTTACACTGGCATATTGCAAGGAAATACCATCTTTGTGAATTTTATGTGAGACATGAGCTTTTATATGGGTCTTCCCATGTGTGATCTTTTTACTACATGGGACTGACAACCTGTATCTGGGAAGCAGATTTCTACATGACTACAGCTCCATGTTTATTTTTGTTATTATACAGACAGCTTCATTAAAGAACTGCCAGACCCAGATTATCGACCGGTTGTACATTTTCACGTCGGTCTAACGGATGTCCGAATAAGAACACAATGCAGAAGACTAACGTGTAGAGAAGACGTCCATTACAGGTGCTTAAATACAAACAGTGTTTGTATTTTTCTTACTGCAACTTGTAGTCACATTGTGACAACTCTTTCTTCTACTGGGACAAACTCCACCTGTACACCACCCAGTCAGGGACTCGTGAGTATCCCCACACCCCTGGCCTCTTACATGGGAAAACTCCATAGTAGGAGAGAGACCACCCCTGCTTGAGAAATCTAGTTCCAAAGCCAATGCTGTGCATAGAGATACAACTATATCTAGTTGATATTTTTTAGCCTCCAGCACCAGCCCGGCTCGTTCCCCACCAGTGTGGTGATGATCCATGTCCCAAGAGACAATTTGCACTCCCAAGATCTACTCCATCTAGATCTGTCCCGCTCCCGATTAACATCACTCCCGAACCTGGCCTTTGCCTTGCCCATACTGCGGCTCCACACAGCCATTTTGGGGTGAGCCAGATGGGGTTACTTAGGTGACCTGCCCACCAGGCACCCAACAGTGAATGCCACCCACAGGCCTAGCTCCAGGGGTGCACCCTAGTGTCCTTCGTCCGGACAGGGTTCTCACAGTTTTTATTGGAACCATCATGACCTAGTTTGGATCATTCATTGTCTGGCCTCTCACCTTAGACCCATTTGCCAAATTTGACCCTACCAGGAACACAATGCTCCCAACAACACAGCTCTAAAGCTCCCTGAGGCACTCAAGCCCTTCCATCATGACAAGGTCATGATCCCGTGGAGGGGCTGTGAAATTTTCTTTGTTTTTTAATTCAAGTCTTTGGTCTTGTCTTTGGCTGTATATTACATTGAACACAAGGTTATGGTGTCATTAAGAAATTCCAGTTTGAAGACATACGCAATGAACCCATTCATTTTTAAGAAAGGGGGAAACTTAACACTAGTTTATGTTTTATCTCTTTCTTGGATCCATTTCAATCTCACTGTGTCTGATCTTTACATGGAATAGGGATGCTGTCATTTATGATAAATTATAAAAGTATATTCTTTAGGAATTTAATCTGTCTGTATGTTTATATTTAAAAATTATGCATTATATACAGTATAGATGTATTTATTTATATAGCCTTGACACAGAACTAATGTCCCAAATAAATTCATTATATATATATTTTTACAATGAATCAAAGTCTTGCTGTCTCTGTTATATCCTCCTGCCTGACAGTTTTTACATGCAACGTATTTTACAGAAACAAAGGTTCACGTATTTCATCACTACTGTAAGTATAATTAAACACCTGAAGAAGGCTCCATGGCCGAAACTGTGTTTTCTTTCTGCTCTTTCAGCATGGAATAAACCTATTACTTGTTCCTAATTAAACTATGATATACTTAATTATAAAATGATGTGGGGGGTACAAATTACTTCTGGGTGAGACAACAGTGGTGAAAATGAATGACATTCCAATTTTCACATCGCAGCATTCTTTAAAATGATTTGACTCAAGCTACTGTATGAGTTCAGGATATGAATAAAAAGACAAATGTGCACACAGACTCATCAATATCATATATAAATGCTTTTACATATAGATGTAAGGTTATATACAGTATGCTGGTCATATTGATTGGGGCTTGTGGTTTTCTTAGTAGTAGCACCTGTAACAACAATTTTGTTATAAATGGTTGCTAGGCAATGTGTATGAGGAAGTGGAACATGATTTTGTGACAAGCCAATGTTTTTAGTGCTTCAGGTTAAAAAGCCTCAAAAGGTCTGTTAGGAGAAATTGTTAAAGGATTATAACGCATACAGAAGGAATACAAAGTGCTGGAAAATAACTCTCAATGCTTTGATTGCTAATAACAGTAAGTGCCTTCCTCTATCCTTAGGGGCGGAGCGGTGGCTCTGTGGTTAAGGATCTGCGCCTGTGACAGGAAAGGTTGCCGGTTCAAATCCCGCGGCCGGCAGAGGAATCCTACTCCATTGGGCCCCTGAGCAAGGCCCTTAACCCTAACTGCTCCAGAACTGCACCGTACAATGGCAGACCCTGCGCTCTGACCCCAAGCTTCTCTCCCTGTCTCTGTGTCTGTGTCTCCATAGAGAAAAGCTGGGGTATGCAAAAAGACACATTCCTAATGCAGGAAATTGTGTAGGGCTAATAAAGAAACATTATCATTATTAAAGCCATTGTGTATTTAAAATACAGAACCCTATAAAAGGTACTGTAATCTACTAGTACTGTACTAGTGTTATCTTACTACTCATGCTTAACTCATGTCTCATTGTGATTTTTTAGTTTGTCATTTCATTACTAATACATTTCTTCAGCTTCATATATTTTGCAAACTACTGCATTCTGGGAAATGGGCCTAGTGCATCATGTTTGAAGCAGGGCTCACATATTAGCCTGCAGCACACGTATTCAGAGATGGGCATTTGAGAAACTTATGATTTCTACATTATTGTTCTGAAGAGAGAAGGAAGGGAAACAATTAATCCCTAAACAGGAACCTTGTTATCAGCGAAAGTAACTCAAAAGAAAAATACATAACAATTTCAAATATGAAAATGACCAGCACTGTCATGGAATTTATGCATCTTGTATAACATGATGGAAAAATATTTTTTAAAAATGTTGAATTTGTAGCATGTTGTGTGTCCTTTGTTATTGGTCTTTCATGAGTTGGAATTGTTCTGGTGTTTGCAAGTGCTGAGTCCATTTCTCTTTCCTATTGCCTTTAAGGGATCCTCAGATGCTCACTCCCAGACGACTAGCCCTGTGACCTGAGCTTGGTGGGGCTGACCATCTGGGCAGTGTTTGAAAATTAATATTTTGAGATTCTGAAATGCTACACCATTGTGTGGAGGGGCAGCACTGATCATAACTGATACTGTATATAATGAGCTTTAGCTGTTTCTAGAATTCCCTGAGTGTGGCTGCTCAAGGGTGGAGTTTGCTGAGCTTGCTTTTCAGTCCTCCTGGACACTGTAGCTTGCTGGATACCTGAGGGTCTGCATCAGCCCAACACTTTCTTTTAATCTCTGCTTTTTGCATTACAGTATTGCAGTAAATGGAAAACTAATGGATGGCCAGAGATAGCTTCATCTCTCCTTGGTGATAAAAAGTTGCTTAAAAATTGGCAATTATCAAAAGGACATATCTGCTAAATCCAATAGATCTATAAAATAAAGATAGTGTGTCATAGTGTGTCAAACCTCACAGTACACGTGTAGATCTCAGAGGGAGGTTATTTTCTACCCCAGCCAATGCATCCTGACCTACACAATTCCATGCCTGTCTTCCAAGATTTTGTCTCTGTCTCCAAACAAACCTTAAATTAGTTTCAAGGATGAGTATGGGTATTAAACATTACTCTATCTATCCAGTTTGAGTTTGTGATACTCGTAACCTTGAGTGTCACAAAAGTGAGAAAAGTGCTCATAAATAAAATATTATTGTAGTCACATACCATTTTTTGCATTTAATAGGTGGCAAGATTAACTGGAATTTAAGACATCTGTTTTTCTACATAGGGCCATTTTCTCAAAAAAAAAAAGAACGTTTTGGGTAGATAGGGAGTGAAAGGTCTTTGTCCCTTTGTCATTTAGAATGTTTTCATGTCAAATTCAAATTTTGGCAGATAGTTTTCCTAGAATCAATAGGAAAAGGTGGTTTACAGCACAGATGTAACAAATGACAATGCACAACAATTTTCATATATGAAGCACCCAATTGATACGTTCTTTTATCACAGAGTATATTCCTAGTTCTCTTGTACTGCAAGATAGGATTTGGAAATAATACTCTGTGGAAGTATTCCAAGCAATTGTTTTTTAAGTGGTTTTATCTTTCTGTTGAGCCTTTAACATGAAGACACTTTGACCTTTGGACCTCAGCAATTGTGTGAAGTCGACGTGCTGATAACAATCTGGCGCACCGCTGTTACATAAATTAGGGAGAACTGTTGTATTGTGTTGTTTCAGCTGAGGACTCATGCGCGGATTTTTATTGCTGAGTGTTAATAGCTTTAAAAATTACGATACAAACGACGTGGCACTACATTTCCCATGTGTCACTGCAACAAACTTGCTGCATGAAAACCGCTCCCCCTGTTGGGTTGATCGAGTGTTTCAATGAAAAAGCCCAAGTCTTTCAGCTAGCCGCGGCAGACAGGCAGGCGAGCATAAAATACGCGTGGATGGGCGAAGGGATTTCTGACTAGTTTATACCAGAAGACAAGCACATTGTGAGGACGATTTCGGACATCCACCAAGCTCCGAAAAGCAAGATTCTTTTTTGGGATTTATACCCTTTTCTCCCTGTTCAATTAAACTATGGAATGCTAACGTTACATTTGCTTGCGCGAAATCTGCTGGTTCTAATCAAGCACGCTTACGGAATTTCCCGATCTCTGTTCCTGTACAGTGCAGAATGCGCCCTGGTTTCTGATTGTCTTATTTCACCCCAGCAATGATCCCCGAGCAGCAAAATCATGTTGTTGCTACTATCGAAAACATTCCTGCTGAAACTATCACAGCATCGCCAACAGTGCTGCAAAGGATAAAGAAAGTATTTAACAGGTAAGAAAATCAGAAAATCCCTCTCTTTCCCCTCTACTGGGTTTCAATGGAATCTTTGTTGATAAACTCCTTGAAACAGGTGGCGCATCCCTAGTTTCTCATCTGGATCAGTTACGCATTTCGCTTAAAATATTGCGGTTTTATTTATTTGTTGTAAAATAATATACATTATTTTAAAATGTATTAAGAATGCATTGTTCATATTTTGGCGAAATATTTATATTTAATCATATTTAAATGCAAATCGGTGTTTTAAAAATAAAACTACTGAAGGTATTAAGGACATCTTTTTCAAGACCTAACAGAATACTGAAGAGTATCCTTTTTATTTGATAAAATCTACAAATTGAATCCATATTTCAGTATTTACAAATAACTATATGAAGTAAAGCGATATTAAAACTCATGTGCAACATGACTTTTTAATATTCAAAACAGTGCAGTGTGTAAATTGTGATACACTCTTCCATAATGCAAAATGAAATGCCCAAGTGTCACAGATTTCACAGTACCTGCATGTTTCAGTTCACAACACTGTATGAAAAGGCTACTGAGAACATTAAAATTCCTTTTTCGTCATTAGCTACAGTAGAAGGAAAAATAGACAAACGTAACAATGTTAATTCGTTTATGAATACTGCTAAATGGAATATGTATATTTTATGTAACCCAAAATATTATCTTCAACCATAAAACCCACTCCCCGGTTCAGTATAGAAAAATAATCGTGATTCCGACGCCGCCTTTTTAAGGATGCGGTCTGCAATTCGTAAGGTAAAGTTTATGTCTTCAGCCTTGTTTTGTGGTTTTGGTATCACGCCGTTTGGTTCTCGCAATGTGTATTGATGTTCTGTTGGATGCATTGCGGTTCAATACACGAATTGCATTCGCCCTTGTAATCCCGCGTTGACTTTTTATTATTCTGAAAGCATTTTAGCCGGATCATATTCCTTTGCTTCAGATAACTATTTGAACATGTAACATCCTAAGACCCATTTGGAGCAAAACGTTTATTCCCCTTGTACCAACGCAACTGTTTCGGATGATTTTGTATATATTATTTTTAATTTTGTGCTTTTTTAGGTACAACACTGTATGACCTTTATGATGAAAAAACACGGTGGGCATTGTGATTAAATGGCAGAATAGCCCCTCTCCTCTCGCTAACTCATTTTCGTTACATTCACTCAGTATAGCTCCTTGGAAACGAATGTTTATGTGAATGCCTTTGAAGTACAGTACCAAGGAAATCACTTGCTAGTTTTACCGTAATGTATTTTTCATTACTTTTTTTTCGCAGTTATTGTTGTGTTTAATGAGGTTAGGAGAGAATAGTGATAGTAAAAGTAAAAAAAAACGTGGAAACGCTCACTACTCTTCTGCTGTAACTTGCTATCTAGTTAGACATGAATGTTTTAAGTCGGTTAAATCTTAGTGAACTACTCTGCGTACTGTATAAGGGAAAAACACTTAAAACCCGTGGATGTAAAATTATATTAAAGCATCTTGTTCAGAGTTTAAAACATCGTTTTGTGGACAAATGTCCTGTCAAAAAAACACATTTTTTGCAGGGATACTAGTCTTCATTTTTCAGGATATAGCCTCCCTTCTATACTAGTTATCCAGCTTGAAACTATGTACATTTATTTGAGACATTTCAGGTATCTAGGACAAATGCTTGCCGAGGCCTTCCAAGGGGAATTGGGTGGAATCCCACAAAACAGCATCTACAGTACGGCCTGTTGCAGAGCATGTGTACAGTATGTTGCTTGCAATACAATTGTGGCCATACCGTACAGTACATGCCTTTATCCTATGTGTTTCCAAGGCAGAGCCTCTGCTGATAACTGTTAATCGGTCTGACGAGTTTACCCATATCTATCCATCCATTTTTAATCGCTTTATCGAGTGTGGGGTTATTGAAGAGCCAGAGGCTATGCCAGCAAGCAACAGGCACAAGGCAGGGTACACCCTGGACAGGGTGCCGGTCCGTTTCAGGGCACACAGAGACAAACACGCACACCCTCACACTGGAGTCCAATTAACCTACCACTATGTCTTTGGAGTGAAAATGCATGCAAACACATGGTGAACATACAAACTCCAGGGAGGTGCAGATAGAGTAGAACCCGAAAAATGGATTTGAAGCCAGAGCCCTAGTGCTGCAAGGCAGAAAAGCAAATAAGTGCATCACTGAGGCACCCCCTATAGTATACTAGACAGTATGTGTTCAATGAAATATCATTACACCTGCTCCAAAAATGATGTTTATTAATTTCCTGATAACAACTTAGTGAATTTGTTTCAGTTTTGAGTATAATAGGTTTCTGACATTTACAAACACAATCATATACTTGATGCTTAATTAATATGCACGATAACTTTCAGTGCCGTGTTTCTGTAGGTTTTATAATGCTATACAGTACTTTGAGCTTCAAATACCAAGAGACAGAACTGAGGAGCTTATAACAGATGTACTGCAAGGCTACTATGTCTGAAGAATTTCAGTTCCTTAAAGACCTAAATTAGCTCATTATTGGCTTAATTGGACCAATTTACCAACTCCTCCTAGATCCATAGATGCTGCTGCTTTACAGAGACATAGCATACCTGCTGATACCCAAGCTTTCTGGCTTGAAAGAAGAAAAATAATGAAATATATGTCATGTTTGTTATACCACTTAATCAATTTAATTGGCCTCTAAATATCACTAGTGTTTATTTTTTTATATGTGTTTACTATCATTAGTTTCTTTCATATACACTACTGTTGATAATCAAATTGTGAAGACCATGGTATCTCCTAGCTTTTAGTAAGGTAAATCCAATCCAAGGTTTTTAGCAAATTATAAAAGTAATAGTATGTTTTGTAAAAAAAAAGTTACAAAAGTTGTTTGGTTATCAGGTTTATAATGTAATTTGGAGTACTCATTTTTTGTCACTGTATAATTCAAAGATAAAACAAGCACAATTTTGTCACCATAGTAATCACATCTACACAGTATGTTGTGGTTGTCTAGTGCTGTTGCCTCACAGCTGTGAAGTCCCTGGTTTGAGTTCAGCTTGCTCCAGAGAGGTGCAGATACACATACTTCTATCTTGTGTTTACGTGTTATGTGAGTTTTCTCGATGTGCTTCTCTTTTCACCCAAACTCCAAATATTTGCTGTCTAGATTAATTTTTATGCACAAATCGCCTCCCTCTATGGGTGTGTATTGTAGTGTACTGTTGTCCAAAACGTGGTGTGTTCAACTTCGCTGTCACTGTCTGCCAGGTTAGGCTTCAGCTCACCGTGATCTGATATACAGTAGCGGTCTGTCTCTTTGATTACTAGTAAAGAAGCAGTTAAAGAGACAATTACAATCTAAATTACATGGAATACTGTGATTTCATTATTTATTATCTTATATGGAATTGGAAAATAGGGATCTTTACTCATAAAAGATACTGCTGATTTCTATTCTTCTGTCTGAATATAACTTTAATGGTGTGCACGTGTGATTTGGGAATATACTGTACTGTATACAGTATGTTTAGCAAGGTTTTAAGCAAGGAGCTGTGTCAGCATCACCTCTGAAAAAAGCTTAGCAGCTAAAATGTTCTTTTTTCTTTCCTTTACATTTCAGTGTGGATGGAACTTTTACAAAGTCTTTTAATCATAATTAGTATATTTTGCAGACAAACCCAGACTTGTAATAAGAGAAGAACCATTTCCCTTTCTGTTAAAAAAGTGTTTTTTTGACACTGTGGTGAGTCTGCAAAGAGTGGTGTAAAAGAATAGTGCTCCATAGATGAACCATTGAATGCTGTTGTTGAAGTTTCATTCAGATATGTCTTTGTGTTCAATTATATGAAGTAAATTTGAGTATGTAAAATCATCTTCACAGAATGACTTTTCCTTGTGCTTGTTGCAATGCAACAGTGAACTCACCATTAGTTTTAAAAAGAGAAAAAACTTGTGAGTAGTCAAGGTGAAGGCTGGCTTGAGACGTTTCTAATATAAAAGTTGCTTGTAGTTACTAGAGTTTTCACTTTGCTGACCTCAACATTCATAGCAAGTTCTTTCTTTACCTCTAACTTGATATTTTAAAAATTCTACACTAATCTGAAAGAATCACAGTCGTGGGACTGGATTAAAATGACATACCAATAAGCTTGGTATGTTGTGAATCGGAACGTTGTGTTTTCTTTCTGCTCTTTCTTCTTTTCTTTCTTCTCTTTTCAGCATGGAATAAACCTATTACTCTTCCTTTGCAGCCTACGCATGCTGACGCAGCTACCCACCTGAACTACCAATAACCTTGTCTGATCTTAGTATTCAACACTCAAGAGACACAACTTATTATGCTACATATATTGTATTCAAGTTTGCTTTACAGACATTATAGATTTTAGAGTGTGAAAGATAAAGTCTAGGGGACAAGCACATAAAATATATAGTGCAGTATTTAACATTGGGATTTCACTTGAACACCATTTAAAAGTCAGGGGTCTATGATACTCAGAGTGGTTTCAGTTCTACTTTGCTGTTTGAAATCTGCACCTTAATAGGTATGCATCTGTCTGGACAGCTTCATATTTATGATTTATACTGAAGTACGATGAAAATGTAACAGAATTGCAGTAGTTCATTTGGTATATACATGCTATATACATTTTAACTATTGAGTCAGGCTTGGTTATTTTTTTAAATAATGTGCCTTGTCAAGAAAAAACATGTCATGTAAGTTCATAAAATGTTGCCCAGAGAATGAGATGTTCTGTTCTGGCAGTGTATCATGTTTTATATTTAAAACAATTCTGTCAATTATATGTAAGCAGTGCACGCATATCTTTTGAGCAGTATGAATTGGTGTTATGAGCTCCCCTTTTTAGTTTTAAATTCAGTTATTAGCAACCCAAATTATTATTTAAATCCTTTAATCAAATTTAATGTATTTTCATTACCCTAGGGATGTTTTGTCTGCTTGCCTCAGACCATCTGAAAATACAAGAGCCAC